TTCGTATACCTCATTCCTCTACAAGTAAGTGCAATAAACTGATAGCATGAATAAAAAAAATTATTTCAATACAGTTTCTTTCATCCTTGTTCCATTTTGAAAGTAATATTCTTAGAAATGTATCCATTGAAGCTCTTTTTGTTTATAATAGTTCAAAACTTCTACCAATTAGTACTATGACCTAACACGTTAACAGGATTACTAATAATAAATGAAGACAAGTATGTATCGTTTAGACCTGGTTAATATTGGTGCATGTATACGTTTAGTATGAGTGTATATTTACATTTTTGATTCAATGAAGTGCCTTCTTTTTACCTTTTTTTTCCTTATAGTATAATCGATTTTAGTAATCATTTTAAAACCATGATAACATATACTATGGTTTATGAAATTCATTGTTCAACCCATTTCTTAATTAACAAAATATATAAATAGGTACCTTTTCTTTTGCTAAAATTCAATGAAAATGGGAGGAATTGTTCTGCAGGAGGGCCCTTGAGATTAGCTGGATATTAGATACAAACTCATTGTTATCAATATTTCCATTTGTATGATGATCTTTGCATCATTTTAAAACCCGACATTTTTGCCTTGTGGTAAAGTGCTCTTAATTTATGATTAAAAATTGATTAGTGAGTGAAAACTATGCCATTGCAGTAAATTCGAGTATATATATATATATATATCGGATACGCAAAATGACGCAGGCTAGTTAAAGCCTCCGGAAGCCAGCTAACCTATTGAAGAAAAAATGAAATCTGGAGATGTGGAGTGTACGTACAATGTACGAGGTCGGGAACGATACCCGGGTAACCGAAGAAATCAGAAGATATGGTAAAGAAGTACTGAGGATCTGCGACAGCAGATGGAATGGATATGGATTGACAACATTGTCAACGGGAGAGTCAATAATCTACTCTGGTCACCCAGACGATAACCACGAACACACTGAGGCAGTAAGTGGCAATCATGTTGCTACCAGCGGTAGCAAAATCCCTAAATCAGTGGGAACCAATTTCATCCTGCAGGATAATGACAGCAAGATTCAACTCAAATGGAAAGAAGGAAGGGCACAATTATTCACTGCTACCCTCAATGCTACAAACAACGCAGAACAGGAGAAGAAGGAAGATTTCTATAGATAACTGCAAACAGTAGTGGACAACATCCCAAATAGAGATATCAGAATAATCATGGGCGATATAAATCCCAGCCGAAATGAGGGCTAACAATACAGGAAGAGAACTCATCATGGGTTGAGAAGCCATAGGAGAAATGAATGAGAACGGATTATTTGCGAACTTCTGCGCTTTCAATGATCTGGTGATTGGAGAGAGCGTGTACAAACACAGAGATATACACAAAGCAACATTTGTTTTCGCCTGATGGACATACCACAAACCAAATCGATTTCATCTCAATGCACCTCAAGGACGTGGAGATGCAGCCGGCTGGATACAAAGTTGAGAAGGGGAGCAGATGTGGGCTTAGACCATCATCTACTTCAAGGTGAAGCTAAAATCCCTTAAAAAACTGGAGACAGGCTACAATCAAAGTTCAGCATTCAGAAATTGAAGGACAAAACTACAAGGGATGTTTTCACTATAGATATCAGAGCAAATTCAGAGACAGTATGTGACATCACTGAGGAAATCTGGGTGGAAGAACATTGGAATCCTCTGAAGGGAATATTCGAAGAAACGTGTACAAGTGTTCTAGGAAGAAAGAAGAGACAAGACAAGGAATGGCTGTCAACGGACACCTGGAAGCTAATAGAAGAGAGAAGAGGGGGACGGTGAAAACGAAGATGACTTAACGCAAAGATGGGCAACATAAGGAGAAGCTAGGTCCAGTATGCATCAAGCAGTGAAGACAGGGCTTCAGGTGAATATAGAGAAGACGGAGGTGATGAAGGTAACCGACTAACTGTAACAACAACCAGCATTAATCACGATCATCAGGAGAAAATTTGTCACAGTTTTCTTCCTTCACTTATCTGGGTAGCATCGTTCTATCAACAGGTGACAGCACGGATAGCCTGGCTTTTTTGCTTGGTCTACGAATATGTGCTCTTGCAAAATTCCTATGGCTCGCATTTTTCAGTTTTACCTTCTCCCACATCTTCATCATTGTCATCATAAATCATATGAGATTGTCAAATTAAGAGGAAGCTGGATTTTTAGTGCAAAATTTATACGTTTTATTTCAAGACTCTTTAACTGCGAATGGACCAAAATGTATATAAAATTATTGAAAATAATGGCATGCATTCTTGTTTTACTGAGCAGAAGCTAAGTATAAAGCTCTTGGTTTAAGGAAACAAGAATGACTGAAACACTATGAATTTTCCTCTCAAGTTAACACATTGTGCCAGATTTCTTGTATAACGCATAGAAGACAGGATATGGAATTAGATTTGCGCCTTTTTCAGTTCTTATAACTAGTAAGCCGGTAATTTACGGAACGTTTCTGTACTTAAACCTCAAAATTTATTTAGGCTGTAAGCAGCTGATGAGAAGCCAACGAAATAAATGATGGTACCATGTTATTCTGCACAAATCACTGTTATTCATGCTTTAATTCAAATTTATCAAGGGGAATAAATGCATGAAATTTACGGAGCATCAGTAAATTTCAAATTTAACAAAATGTTCAGTTTGATGATAGCAAAAAATGTCAGTATAATTCTATACACATATATAGAAACTGAAAGTTGCAGAAAAAATTGCATAGAGAGAAAATAGTTTGAAGTAAATTTTCTTGACATAACAAAAACTACAGACTTATGTTTTTACCATGAGGATAATCGCATAGTGTACACATGCGTTAAAATTGAAAGTGCTTTCAAGTTCTAGTGACATCCGTCAATCAAAATATACAGTCAAAAGACATGATATATGTTTAAAACAATTAGTTCCCTTTATGAATTTAGACAAAGCAATAACAAAAACGTAATTTGTCTGAATGGTGTAATGTATTTGCGCCCACAACACATTTCGAACAATCTGATCACACACAGACTTGTCATAGGAATATATATGTATGAAAATAATAAAGGGTTAAGAGGTAAGAAAATAAATTTAGGACATATTGAAGGTCAAAATAACAATGGAGATCATTAAACCAGATAACAGGGGTAATAGTACATCTGCTATGTTATCTAAACAAAGTTTACCAAGGAAGGTTTAGTGTGATGACGAATTGTTCTCGAACGCATGAATGTGCTTTAAACTTTCTAATCGCTAGGGGTTCCGCAAACTTTAGGATACGCCTCAAAAACGTTTTATAGATAGGTTTAAAAGATGTGTGTTAACTTCAATTTTATGTCCTGTCTCTATTATATGTTTCTCAATAGAGGAGCTAGGTCTCCTGTTCTCACCATTAATTGGTTCTGGGGGGGGGGTTCTATTTGCTTCTGGAGCCATTTAGGAATATACTCTGAAGTCCTTACTTGCAGAGATCGGTGAGTCCTCCCTAATGTATGTGTGGCTAGACATGAATGATTCAAACTTCAAACTTCTTAAAAGTCTAATATAACGAATGAAGAACATCTTTAGTTTAAATCTAATTCACCCAGTACAATAAATTGTTTGTGACCAAACAGATCAGATTACAGCTGCATACTACAGACACCTTTTATAAATAACAGTTATATTCTTCCGTTAAAGGGTGTACCGATCTAAAGCGATACTACATCTAAATTCACAATAACATATTATACTAGGATTCTCTTCAATTGAAGACATTGTCTAATGGCAATCCAAAGTCGATAAAATTATAAACAGATGTAATTTATTGCATGGAGGATTTAATCATGAGCTGACATCAGTTAGAGAACCACTGGAAAACAAGCTGGGAGTACTGGACAGCTGTTTCGTCCTAGTTTGGGACTCCTCAGCAGTACGCACCCACCGGGATTCGAACCCAGGACCTTCTGGTTACAAGGTGAGCTCGTAGACCATTGAGCCACTGGGACCCGATCCAATGGTCCTTGAATTCTAACTTCTGCCAGTTCACGAAGAAGACATTGCGAAGTGGTCGCGCTATGTCGTGAACTGGCAGAAGTTAGAATTCAAGGACCATTGGATCGGGTCCCAGTGGCTCAATGGTCTACGAGCTCGCCTTGTAACCAGAAGGTCCTGGGTTCGAATCCCGGTGGGTGCGTACTGCTGAGGAGTCCCAAACTAGGACGAAACAGCTGTCCAGTACTCCCAGCTTGTTTTCCAGTGGTTCTCTAACTGATGTCAGCTCATGATTAAATCCTCCATGCAATCAAACAAAATCCCCTACAACAAACCAATACTTAAAGATGTAATTTATGTTGTAAAGAAATGATATTCTGTTGAACTGAGGAAAACACGTGGTTTATTCTGTACGTTTGAAATAAAATGATTAAGGATGATAGGAATAGAACGCTGAAGGTAATCTTGCTGCACTTAACACTATGATTTAGGAACAACCAAGGATACTGACTTTAGAGTGAAAATATCAAATGTCTTCATTCAATAATATTATCATATATATTACTAGTGAGCTGTTTGACAAGTAAATCGAAATTTTACATTTTAGCTTTAACCAATGTCTATCTTCAGGATTACTTTTATTTCGATATGATTTTATATGAACTAAACTTTTAAACCAACAGTAAAAATGTTTGATGATACATTCAAACTGTGCGTAAAGCACAACGATTTTAAAGATGTTTTTAAAAAGCATCTCCAATTTATGGTATGTTAAGAATAAAATTTTATTAAGTAACATATTAATATGTGAATTGATTTCAACATTTAAACACCGGTTTTTATAATAATAATAATAACAACAACAAAAAATAGTTCACTGTAGCATATAAAACAGATATTACTTCCAGAAGTTAAAGCAACCTCCATTTTATTTAAAGTTCGAAATCTTTAGGATACACTATACATTAGAAATCAAATTTAGATTCTTGTAGAATATACATGTTCAATTTGGCTGTGGAAATTATTCAATAAAATCTACTTCGGTACAAGTCCTTTAGACTGAGGAAAAATTTGACTGGCGTCCTCCCGGGGGATTGCACGTGTCCTGTTAATGGGATATGAAAATTTCTTCAAAATTATTATTCCTTTTTAAATACACGAAAAAATAATGACAGTTAACAACGGCATAGTATTAAAATATGATTCCTACCGCACTAAGATGATTAAATTTCAACTTACAATACTCACCTGCGTGAACTAAGAATTATTACTTAGACACTATTTGTTTAAAACTTTAAGGTGTATCACCTTGTCATTTCATCCATAATTAAATATATCATGTAGACTTGCGAGAATGGTATTAAATATACGTAATCTGAGAGTGAAGATAGTATTTTCATATTTAAAGTTAGAATACCATGACAAAGTATTGTTTAGCTAACAGCTAATCTCTCAGTGGCAGACTGAATGATATTCACATATTGACATTTAAGAACCTAAAGTGGTGGAGAATAGTTCTTTTTCAGAATTAGATTATTCTCCTTGAAGTTTGTTTCATATTGGTGTTTTTAGATGGGTATGCTATAAAAGACACTGGTACTTCAACCATTATATTCAAGAAAATTGTGAAAGTCACCCATGTTAATCACCATGATGGATAACCATTGACAGTCGTTGTTTATTGGGTCAATTTATTTACGGTATTCTAATTACTCACTTATTAAGGCTCTTTAAAGGTTTTCTCACTTAATTCTACTTAAGACATGTAACGCTTGACATGTAATTGTAGCAATTGACTTCAAGGCTCTCCCGATAATCAGACAACCATGAGGAGATTAGAAACATACATCTGATTAAGCAAACGTGTTTCTGGATTAGTGGAAATATGTTATGAGAAATTTAACCCTTCATTGGATTTTGTACAAGGGCGATATACTAAGTGAAATAATTACTAAGAAATTAAGAAAATCAGCTCAAAGAACTTTTAATGCTGGCGAATTACACGTCTTATTCTCTACACGACCGATGGTGGTGATTCCTTGACTGAAAGATGAAGTACCTAGGCTAGCCACTTCAGATTGTATCTACCAATTCAACTGCGCTTGCGGAGCGAGTTATATCGGCCGCTGCTCTAGGAACTTGATTTTTCGTGCTCAAGAACATCTCCCACTATGGCTAAGTCAACAGTTTGATATTGGATCACCTGGTGCAAACTGGCCACAAAGCCAGTGTTGAAGAGTCCTTCTCTATCACCTACCGAGTGCAAATAAAATGCTAAAAACACAGAAGTACCGCATGCTCTAAACAGCGAAGGCTATTGCAATTCGCCTCAAACAACCAGTGCTTTTTGTTCAAAAGAAACAAGTCCAGCCAACACTACTGCCCTGGCCTTCAGTAGAGACTATAAATTCATGAATTTGTAATATTATCTTTCTTAATTCAACTGACATTCAGCTTATTGTTATGTTGATGCTATTGAACTGTAATCCATTGATATTATTATTATTATTATTGACTCGATGTTATTTAAGCATTAATGTTGTTCATAACACTAATTCATTCATTCACTATAATGTATATATAACTGTAGAGCCTGACGATGAAGTTATCGAAAAGAGTATTCTTTGTTCAGTATCCATTCTTTTATACAATAATTATATTTGCATTTGCCAAATGTTAGACACAGCTCAAGTGCTTGTAGTAAATTAACACCTAAGAATCTATTAGGAAGAACATTTGAAGGGAGTATTTATTTCTACTTAACTTTATGAGAGTTATATTCGGCGTGACTACTAGCTTACATTTCAGGTCATTTAACATTTGCAAGGTTCATTTTTTTCAAAAAAGTATTTTCTTCAGTGATATCCTCAACTTACTGCTGACCTGTAAATAAGTGTAATCTATTCAATCAATAATATTCTATCTAATGTACGAAAATTGGTTCAGAACATGTGCTAAACTGATGAGACATAAAACACTGAACTTATTCACTAAAAGTACAGGGTTTCATAATGAAGATTTAGGTTTTTATCCGTTACCTGATCATTTAGTTAGCAATTTGGAATAATCGAGTGATCAGTACCAACCGAAATAATTGTTCCTTATTATAATTATATCCTTTAATTCCTAGAGGAACATGGGGCTTCAGCTGCGCGTCTCCATTGCGTCTGGTTTTCTGCCAACTTTTTCACCCCACTCCAAGTCTACCCACATGCTTTCATCTCTTCTTCACATGACCTCCTCTAAGTCACCCAGCTCGCCGCTTCCCTTTCGGGTTCCACTCGAGCAATGGCTTGTCTAGTGATGTCACTTGATAGTTTCCTCACAGTATGGCCAATCCATCTCCATTTCTTCCTGCCTATTTGTTTCACAATCGGTTCTTGGTTGGTTCCTTAACGTTTCGCTATTCAGGACAGATCCAGTGGGTAATAATGATAGTTTAAACAGCTTACAGTATGTTGAATGATTGAAGACCTGTTTTACTAACGACTTGTCAGAGTAACGTTTTGTTTCAGATTCAAGTGAAAATATTTTGAATCTTTAGTAATATCCAGTTACCTTTCACTAAACGAATTTATAATTTACCGGTCTTTTGGGCTCCTATCCTCTAGTTTTGAAAGATTATTAAATGCAAGCCCCTGATGACTTGTTCGCAATTTCGGGTATATTTTGAAAGTCTGTCATCTTCAAAACTTCGAACACTATCTTTATGTTCTATCAAACCTTTTGCTTTCCTCTAATGTACATATTTCATATCTCAGAGTCAATCCATTTCCCTTTAAGTTATCACTGTTGACTAATTCAAGTACTGGTACCTGTAACCTACGCTTTACAATGCATCCTTGTGTAATTATTTTGTTTATTGTAATCCATTAATGGAATCTGACTACATTAATACAAATATAGAATGTTTACAAATGAACCTTGTCTGGTGATGGAAATTAAAGCATCCGAAATATTTAGAATAAAGGTCAACAAAATAATAAACATTTTATGTAGTTCATAGAGAATCATCTTAAGAGAACTAATGGCTTGTAGTAATAATAGGAATTTTCATTTTTAAATTACATTTCATTTTAGGAAAATGAATTTATTTTCAGTTCTGCTTACCTTTTTCCAGTTCGTTTCGGTCTGACCGGACGACATTTGAATATTGAAGGACTATGTAAACAGAAAATAATAATACAAATTACTATACAGAGGAGAGAAAGCAGAATAACTTTTAACTGGTCAGACACAAACTGCAAATACAAATGAAAGCGGTAACTATTGACTAACTGGACAACATATTGCACAGATAACGAGCTATAAGTCAATATTTCTGAATGCTGCTTTTATAATTACTGGTACCAGATTCAATCTCAAACTGAAAAGTGACTTTCTCCTATGGAGACAATCTTGTACACAAGTGTATGAGCTTAGTTTGTCACATTTCTAAACAGCTGACATTCAGAAAGTGAGCAGAAATAAAGCGATGTTACAATAAGGAGACACCAGTTGTTAAAAATATGGAATAACTAGACAAGGACTTAGGAAGCATTTTCAAAAACATGAGGGAATTAAAGGTTTAGTGCGGCAGCGTCACTGTTATCCATTCTGTATTACGTCAGTAAAGTTCTTGAATCACATTTCTTCTTACTACCTGATCATCGTATTTTGGCTGCAGACTATTGCTGGTAATATTGCGTAACAGTACATGATTACCCATTTCTTGCCTTCTGAGCGTAACGTATGACTTCAAGCTTTGAAATTTTTGTAGTGGAGGTGTTTTTTATGTACTGGGTTACCTGACTGACGTCTAAACATTCCTATATACCGGGCTTACTACTAGTGTACTTATGTACGCCGGCCAGAAATCAAAACCGAACATCCCTCATGGCTGACAAGTATTCTACCATCGGTTGATCGACGCACAACAATACAATATAGCGATTATCGTTAAAAGTCTTATTTTCTTTCAGAAGTACGTTTCAGATTGTTGATACTGGTATTACGTAAGCACATAACTTGTGATAAGTGCATATAATAACTGTTTTACAACTGGTAAATAACCATTGCATTTGCTAAATGCTAAGTTTAAAACTTATCTAATTTTCATCGGAGAAAGTTTAGTAGTGAATTTCCCGCTATCTCAAATTAAATCACAAACTGACTGTGAACATATGAGTTAATAAAGGCGACCTTTAAGATGCTGCAGTGCTTATTTATGAAACTTCTTTTTGTGAATGTTTCTTATCACTTGATAAGCAAATCAACAGCAAGTTACTAGACATCTCACTATTTAAAGAAAGAAAGGAAGTTACACTAAACTTTATGAAAGAGTAGAGAAATGAAAGTTCTGAGGTGTTTTTTTCCTACATTCCCACCTGACCTTCGAAAATGACGAAATATATTAGTAGTTGATGGATATGAGCAGTCGGGTACTACTCACATTAACTAGTAGCGCTTGCTAGCCAGATAGAAGTGACTTGAATGCGGGACGGCCGTTCCGCTCGTTTCTGAGCCAGGCTCATCAGTGGTGTACACAGTTCAACTCAGCTCAGATATACGAATGATAATTTAAACTACCAGACATGTGCGGTGTACAACTACTCATATAAAACAATCAGTAGTACACACCATCACACTTTTATGCTTGCTTTCTTGATCGATATATATGGGATCAAGAAGATCACATATTGTGATACGAATAACTGCGGTTCGCAAGGCAAAATGAGTTGGAATTTCAACTCAAACTATGTAGTTTGTCGATTGAGAATTTAATTTTTCTTTCAAAATTGTTTAGGCGAATCAACCTAATTTCATCAACAGAAGAAATAAGAAAAAAATGAAATCTTTCAAAATTAGGTTACACATCGATAGATGTTGAACTAAGACATTTACTAGTTCATATCAAATGATGTACTTTCATACATAATTCATTTCATAATCTTTACACTAGTTAAATGCATAACTCAGCGGCAACAGTATAAAGGATATGAAGAGAGTGTTAGTGATTTAATGTAACAGTTGCTGCTTTCGCTAAGCAATGATAAATTTATGTAACATTTTGCCAGAATAACATGCATTTTTGAATGAAGAATCGGTTAGGACAGTTATTGAAATTAACATGAAAAAATCAATATAAAGTATTTGACAGAAGAAGACCGAAACATTTCGGGTAGTTTATGACATGCAAAAGAATTATGTCTAATAGGATTTAAACGTATATTTTTGTACACAACTGTACTAAGAGGAAATTATTTATGAAGAATATGAGGCTTAATAAATACTGATATGTTACTAAAATACGTACAGCTTCAAGAAAGTACATTAATTGCTCTTAAATTAGCATTTCCACATCTCCTCTTCATGATCTATTCAACTAAAATAATTGCCATGACATCGCCTTTATTTTGTCTGTATGAGCACTTGTCCAAAAATTAGTCTCAAACATTCAGAAACCCGAATTATGCATGGTAGGTCACTAAAATTCCCTTCACACTAAACGTATTTTAATTTTTTTTATTACAGCTTGATTCCACACCGTATTTTTTGGTACAGGTATGGAATTTTCAGCATGTGATATCAGTAGCCCAAAGTTTGCAGGCCGACCATAGATATCAGGTGTATGTCGGCAGGGGATCGAACTTAGGACCATGTGCATGGTCGGCGAGAGTCCTAACAACTGTGCCACCGACGTATCGCTGACTCAAACCTTCTCTCTACGGGCTTATCTTAGAATCCCGATTACATTTCATGCAGTCACTACATTAGTGGTGAACAGTTTCAAGCGGAGTTTAGATTTTAACATGGAAGCATATGAATTGTATCGGTGTAGATACAAACAAAGAAAACTTTGAAGAGTGAGATAAGGAAAGTTATGCTCAACTTCTCACGAGTCTCAACCAAGTAGTATGCATTTTCTCACGCTACTCAGATTAATGGTCACTGACTTCTCGAATTAGTATCATACTTCTACATAACCAACATTATGCATCTTACTAACATAATCTAATTCTCATCAACTATTTTTCTCTTGACATGCATAACATATATTATGCAGTAAACGTTTATGCACCTAAATTATTCATCAAAAAATTACAAAATATCAATTTTTTGCAGCTAAAAAATTGATGCATCTTGTTAAACTAACTATATTAAATTATTCCAGCAGTGACTTAAAAAAAATACACTACAAATTAAAATCTCCAGGTATGCTGACCTTGTCCTTAGTGTTTAAAATATACAATTATGTTTTAGTTAGGGACAGTTATTTTTTGCACGAAATGCACTTTTTAGAGGAAATAAGTGGACAAGTTCATAAAAAAGTTTCCTCTCAGCAAAACAAAAAATACTAGAAAAAAAATCGTATGATTTTCCTCCCCAGTGATCTGCTCTTTAAACTAGGTAAAAATCTATTTACCTGCCATCTAATTCCAAATCTTCTTCGTCCTGTAGAGCGGCTTCTAATGCTGCAACAACTTGTGGGGCTAACTGTGGTGGTTCATAATCTCTTGTAGTGCGACCAGGTAAATCCATATCCAAAGATAATAATTGTTCGTTTCGATATCTAGGATTTGAGTCGTATTTCGAAGTCATAAGAGCATACTGAGAAAGATGACGTCTAGTTCTTAAAGCTTGGTAGAGTGACTGACCAATATACTCTCTTGAGTGGAGGGAAAAAACAAACAGTAAAATAATGAATACTAATGAAGTATATAAAACGGTTAACAGTTTACATTAGATTACATGAAAGTAAATTATTATTTTTTTTACCTAATAACGACTGACAAAACAGTGGAATGTGATACATAGTGTATTTTATAACCTAGACACTTCATAACTTCATTATTAGCAAATAATTTGTGTAAATGATTACTTTGTAGATCTAGCCTGAATTTCTTCTCACCTGCCTAAATTTTGTTAGTATGGCCAATATGCGTACGCCTTAGTGGATTGGAAGCTGTACGTACTAGGTCATATCACGAAACCATGTAAATAAAAGTTGATTTGCATGTGATAATATAAATGCTTTAAGTTTGTGGTAAGTACGATTTAAAGGAAGCTGCTGGATTACAAACATGACGCATATTTCGATAGCAGGCTAAAACCCTGCTGGATACAATCAACTGTTGGACGTTATGGCTGATGGTGTAAGACATTCCTCTAAAAATTTTAAGTGAACCAGACTTTGGACACATTGATTCTAGTGCATCTGAATAGCCTGGCAATATATACTCTACCAACACCATGAGTGAACTAGAACTTGGACGACTGATGACTTATGAATAAAACAAAAACAAATGATTAAACGTTAAGGTTACATAAATCTAAATAGAATAAAATACATTAGGCATAATAGAAGAAGACACTTAGTCACAATTTAATTTATACTCAGTGAAGTTTTAGTGGACCTAGTGATAGTGGGAATAATGTGAATGGTTGTATAGTGGTTAACTTCGAATAAAATCTACCCTAGAAACCAATTAATCAAAATTGTACATTAAATAATAACGTGCATTAACTTTGTCTGTCGTTTGTTGTTAGAATATACTGTAAATAGTGTTTCTTACTGTTAGTTTGGTGATGAGAAAATCGATTCGAAATTGCTCCTAAATCAGTACTAAAATTCACTTGGGTTAAATAACCATTATAGCAACGTTGGTTTACTAATTACAAATCTAGACAGCGTAAGATTATTTTAAAGTATAAAAAAATTTACCATAAGTTAATTTGGAAACAGCTCTTACTAACCAGCTGTAAATGAAATGACATTGGAAATAACAAATAAGAAGAGAAAATAAGCACACGTTAAATACACTTTCTGAAACTACTGGTTTCATGTGCTTACACTCACTGGTGCAAAAAAGGCATTAATTTCAGTATCCTAAAATGTTTACAATTTTTACCTCAAAATTCATCAAAGTAACACGTAAACAGTACAGTACGATCTCATACAGTATTCTTCAGCCGTATTTCATTCTCAGTGATTCTCTTACTGTCGGTTATATTTATGGTCATTAAGAATTGAGTGAACCGCTAACACAGATTCTGTTTACAAGCTTTTCATTTTAAAGCTTACTGTACGGTTTACATGCTCTTTAACACACATTAACTTTGTGATAGATGAATTCTCAAAGTAGTAGTCAAGACAGTCATCAAAGTTAAAGGTAGAAAATTCAGAGCTGTATAGTGGAGAGAGTCAGTAGAGTAAGAAGTTTCTAGTTCTTCCCAGATGAAACTGACAGTACCAATTACACTATCTAAGCATATTCGTAAAGTAAATTTCTTCTTGGTTGCAGATCTCCAGAGTTTAGTGACACATCTACACACAAACATAGAAGTATTTTATCTGAGATTCACTTCACCACCACTGAACAATGATACTTAAACTTTTTGATTTTTATGTCCGTTAGTCATTGGAAAATGAGACTGAATGCAAAGAAAGTGAAGCTTTTTGCTTAAAATTAGATTGACGCAACTGAAGGCAAATGCTTGGAGTTTGAAGAAAAACGTATTTCAGCCTAAAAGTGTAGTTGGTAGTTTAACAGACAAATTACGTTCAATGTTTATGAATTACGTCCAGGATGTTGTTGATGAACGTATGGAAAGGTACAATGTTCGTCTAGTGAGAAAACACAAAAAAAGACAATAAAGTCTATTTCCAAAATATTCTGAAACAGTATGTTCATAAATTTTCTAGTGCTCCTCTCGCTTTACAAGGAGTAGAGATGTTGGCCTTTTGTGATGTTGTAAACTGTCTAATAAGATTAGAAACAAATTTAGAACTTGAAAACCTTCCAGCGAAACAAATGACTTGGTCTGAATCCCATTTCAGAAGAATCAAGGTCATCTCTTGTTGAAAATTGTTACTAGTGTTAATCAAGGAGTTGTACTGAAGAAAGTATCCTCAGGAAAGCTCATAATAATAACTTGTAGGAACAAGTATACCTAGAATGTATAGGTTGCCTAAAATGCATAGATATAACCTGCAATTGCGACCAGTATTACACATTTATAACTCATTATATCATGAAACAGCAGGACAGATGGCAGAAAATGAGTTTTGTCGAAAATAACTAGCGAATTTTTATTACATACACTTTCACTACGATTTTAGTGTGTTTAATTAGGCTTTCAAACGTGGAATACACGTGTCAATCATACTATCTTATGAACTGCAACACAGATATATTAATCAGTATGTTTAATCTATTTTCCTGGATTTTTGGGTTGGAAAAACTATTTTTGCGTTTTCCTATGTCTACTATTTCAAACTACTTACTAGTAGTGTTTTTATCATTTCTTTTAATTTTTCACTGACCGCAACATTGCTACTTTTCTGTTCTTTTTTGGCATGTTAATATTTTAATCAGCTAGTTGCTCTTCATGTTTATTTACTGTATTATGTACTTTTCTGTTTACTTTCTATATGTTACGTTAACTTTTGGATACTTATTAATGATACACTCTTCGCTATATCCCATGCTATCATCAACTGCTTTTTAACACCTGAGATAGTCTCGAACAGTTAAACTCTATCAGTAGGTTTACTTCTTTGGATTAAACGATAAGCACCTTGATACCTAAACAACTAAAATCTATTATTTAGTTCAATTTAGATTTTCCCATAAACTGACTGGACTGAAGTGCTCTGTCTCAGGTTGACATGTTGGCTCCTTATACCGACACGTTGCACAGGAGGTGGCTGTCGTTGCCCAAAAGGTCTATTGGACAACCATTTGGCGTCTAAAACTAAGGTCACTGGGCTCGAGCCCCGGGGAAACACCATCACTCTCTAGGGGAAGAAGGTACATCCAGATGACGAGTCCCAAATAGGACGAAACGCGCAATATCCTGGACTCCACCGTTATTCACCATCAAGCAACTGAACTAAAATTTATAATTACTTTTACCTTTAATGTGCTTTACTTGTAGAGCATAGAAATGAACACAAATTTCATCTTCTTGATTCTAATATTCTACGAATCGGTTGACGTTAGACTTCAGATTTCGAAAAACACCATCTATGCGCTAATTTTGAGATTTTTCGAAAGAAATCTACACACTGGGTTTTCCGATGATTTCGCTACTATGGATTGTTGTACACACTGACTTTGGTTTTATAAAGGTAACTTCTGTATATCTACTTTAACTTGATATTTATACTTTGTAAGTAGTTTGCTGATGACAGTCAAAAATATTATAATTTGAGATGTACCCAGGTATCATTAACTGTAGGGACGAATTACTGATCTAATATTTTTAAGTAGATTTTTGCAATTTTATCTTTAGAACTTAAACTTAAATAAAAAGCATTACTTACTCAGGTGAAATGTTTGTGTCTGAATTTTCATTAGTTGATTGAAAAAGTGGCTTCACTTGCCACTTTTCAGTTTCTTCATCAAAATAGATTCTTTTCTCCAGCTTCTCTTTTTCTTCCGATGGAATAAAGTTCTCCAGAATGATTAATTGTAGTTTAACTTCACGTGTTAACTGATCTTGGATCCTTTCATGTTCTTGACGTTCAAGTGTATATTCTTCTTGTACATCCAACGTTTCTTGTTTAATTTCCTAACATTGTAAAAGATTTCATTTATTATAAGATTCTGTTGAGACTGAGAAATTCCATTGACAAAATAAGTCACTGCAACTTGATAATTTTCCTTCAAGATTATTATAATATGTAGGTAATAACTGGATCTGTCTGCACTGACCACCAGTTTAGAGATACGATGTCAACTGGTTGACTAGTTTGGCCATTGCACTTATTTCGGGAAATGCAACAGTTCAAAAGGAATCATTAGTGAAGGAATCTTAGTCCAGATGCAAAAGTCTAGTTTGGAATTCACCAACTTGCTTCATCTTTGGTACAGACGTGATATTTAGCTACCCATCAAAAGATGTATGTATTGTGCAACAGTTCACCATATTCAGTTTTACTAGCGAAACGGTGAGAAACTTTCAAATTAGATAGGTAAGGAATGTAAGTCAGTCGATGACTCTCTGAATCATTGTTAACCCATTTGGCTGAGACATGTTAAGTGTGCCAAACCATAGCCACCCCAAAAGATAAATTTTATTTGAAATGGAGTTTAGTTAAATTCAATTAGATCAGACATGACACCTTTTTGTTAACTTCTTGACTGTTCTTCTGAGTAGGTGGAGAGATTCACGTTGACTGGTTTTGATTATTCAAATCTGAAGAACCAGATGCTAAAGAATCTTGGTGACGTAACTAAAAGCTGTTCTTAACAGTGTAGGCATATTCAGTTTTCGTTACTGATGTTCTGAACAACTTTATTGATCTGGTTTCTACCATACAGATCAATACTCGTGACAGTGTGCGATCATTACTGTTGCCATCTTTTACGTGAGTGAACTGTATCGAAATGTGACAACTTCACTTGATGCATACCTATTTAAAGTTGTGCATCGATTCATCAAGATAACATGCATCTACATTTGACATTTTGTTTTATAATAGTTCAATGCGAAACAGAAGTCGAAGGTTTTTTTTTACTTAAGTTTGATGACTGTTTTCTAAAGCTTTTACTGTTGGAATATTTTGATTGGATGGAGGATTTCATCATTAGCTGACATCATTTAGAGAACCACTGGGAAACCTGAGAGTACTGGACAGCTGTTTCATCGGCCTAGTTTGGGACTCTTCTGCAGTACGTACCCACACAGGACCTTCTGGTTACAAGGCAAGCTCGTAGACCATCAAGTCACTGGGACCCGATCCAATGACCAGCCCATGAATTCTAACTTCTGCTGATGCATGACATAGCGTGACCACTTCGCAATGTCTTCTTCGATGAGTTACTGACTCACCTTCAACCTGCTGCACCCTACTGGTCATGTCTTCTCAGTGGCTTAATGGTCAACGAGCTCACCTTGTAACCAGAAGGTCCTGGTTTCGAACGCTGGCGGTGGGTGCGTACTGATGAAGAGTCTCAAACTAGACTGACGAAACAGCTGTCCAGTACTCTCAGGTTTTCCAATGGTTCTGTAATTGATGTCATCTCATGATGAAATCCTCCAACTAATCGAACAAAAAATCCCTGGAAATATTTTGATACGAGAAGGAACTTCAAGATAAAATAACGCACTTTTCTCTATCCAGTGAACTATGTACGTCGCTTTTAATGTATTAGCAGATGGGAAATCTACAAATTCACGAATCTAACTGCTTTGAATTTTTTATTTAAACGTGCATTTCGATGACAGTTTACACTAAATATAGACGAATATAATAAAGAATTAACATACCTGTAGTTTTTCAAATAATTTCTTTAGCTTTCTAGTGTTCACCTCAACTTCTTGCTTTAATGATGTGAAACCTTCCTGTAAATTAGCCACGCTGCCTTCTTCTTCTTCCATACGAGCTACTATTTCACGTTCACGACGTCTTTGTTCTGCCATTTTTGTCCTCTGTTCAGCCAACGTTAATTCTTGCATGCGAGTATGCTCAACTATTGATTGGTCACCACGAAGTAATTTGCTTTCCATTGTCTTTAATTTCAATTCTAATTGTTGAGTTTGTGCTTGTTCTTCTTGGAGTTTACTTTCCTTCAACTAGAAGTTTAGAGAATATGAAATGTAGTCTTTAGAATTAAAGGAAAGACGATCCTACTACATGAAAAGATGACCAAAGAATCAACTTGGAAATATACACAGATGTACATCAGTTCAAGTGATATTTTGTTTACCACTGAGATTTCGAATTTTGCCAAAAACCACTGTAGATTTTAGTAACAAGAAGTCCTAGTATGTTTTAAGAAAACTATTTCCAGCTCACACAATATATGATAATAATTAAACGAGAAACTTATTCGACAGAACATTACAGCAAAGTTTACGTGCATTCGAGAACTATAATCAGCTGATAAAACAGATGTTTCATCCTAAACGTATTGAAATTCCTTGGCACACACTCTAGAGAGGTGACCAGCGTCTTCAGATATTTCAAAAACGTCGACTTCAAACTTACAAATGAAAGCAGTGGACCTGATTTTTTCGATCTCAGAATGAGAAAAATGAAGCTGATAAATTACGAAGTTGAGGAGATATGTAAGGAGTATAACTTGAACAGTAAAAGCTGTTCAATCGATAATAGTGAATTGACAGTACCAGCTTCGGGGAAGTAACATGTATGAACCAACGTCATAGCACTAACTTTGGATCTGACCTCAAGACTTAATTGCGTGAAGCGTAGTTACCACATAAGTTTGGTTACATTTACTAAAATCACGGATGTATTGCCTTCAATGTATATGAAGGTAACGATAGAAACTTCTCTCTAAAACTTCTAATTGCTCTACAAAAAAAATAATTTCACACCTACATTACCCAATCTAGAAACTCACTCATATTAAAAATTATATATCGAGAACAAACATTCCCCATTTACCACCTTTTTAACTCTTCCATTGACACATGGACTTGTGATTAATGAATGGAGCTAGCTTCCTTAACTGTATCGCTACATAAGATATAACTGAAAATAAGTGGTGATACCTGTTTGTTTAAGTGAACTTAATTGAGTCCAGTTGTATTCAAAGTTACGGAGTAATATGATGGAGAAGACTTGGAGATGGAGAACAGCTCAGAGAACACAACAGCATCAAAATTAAGGAGTAATGTTAGAGAATACTTCATTCTGTCACATCCTCAAGCACGACAATTTCAAGAGTAGGATCATAAGTGGCGATTTCACGTTGTCGGTTGAATTGATAATCAGATAAATGTACAAAATCTCAATACATATAACACAATGTTTCTGTCTGAGATTTCACATATACTGACGTAGTTAGTTAGTTTGGTTCAATAAATGAACTGCGAGAGATATGAATTCCGAGCGGTTATTAAAGATTCATTCAATGCAATTAGACACAATTCAAATAGCTACCAATAAGCAAATCACTTTCATTATTTTTTTTTCTACTTGCCTTACAGAAAGGAAACATGAAAAGAGAAATTTAATTTGGTTTTGATAGTGAATTTAAAAAAATAATAAAGTCCTAAGAATGTCTCCAATGAAAGAATTCCTTTATTTGATGTAATGAAAGAGAATAAATCATATCTTATTATTAATATTAATTGGCCAAGAAATAATCATTTCTTTAATTTGCTTCAAAATTAACTTAAATGCTTTTAGTCTCGTATTTGTTAGTTAGTAAATTCTCTTAAATTAAGAAGAAGAAAGTCAGGGATCCTAAACTATACAAAATGCCTTACCTTCAGTTCATTCAACAAGCGAGATTTTTCTTCAGCAACTAGTGAATGATCATTTAAAACTGCATCTTTTTCAGCTGACAATTTAGCTTGCTGTTCTTTTACATAGTTTTCCATACTTGTTGCATCGTCTTCAGTACCATTTTCTTCACTTGTAAAATCAATATCAACTTCATTACCTAGTGAAAGCAGGAAATGAAAATTTAATAAAGTTTGGAAAATGCACGCATAGTCTATATTTTTAGCATCTTTGCACAATCATTATCATAAGATAAAAAAGAAACGACTTTTTAAGGCGTCCGGGGCACAGCGGTTATGACTTTCGCTGATCATGCACATGGTCCGGGGTTCGATCCCCTGCCGAGGTACACCTGATAGCTATGGTCAGCCTGCAAAATTTGGACTACCGATATCGCATGCTGAAAATTCCATACTTGTACCAAAAATACGGTGTGGAATCAAGCTGTAATCAAAATTAGTAATAAAATAATAAATCTTGCTATGTTGTATCAAAAACTCTCTCTCTCTCAATAACTCTTCTCTAACATGAAGTTAATGGGTTCTGACCTTATTTAAATTTAAAAAATATTGCCTGGGTCTACTACACTTTCAGTATTCTTTTCAAAATAAGTTGCCAAAAAGGAGCTCGAACGTCAAAACTTACACTAAGGGAGCTATAATGCTATTTATAGTGGGATAATAACAAATAAACGCGTCATCTAGAATGAATAAGCGGTGGTTCTCCTCAATTCCTAAAAAGTGTCTAAAATAAAATACTAACTCTTCACTTATGTAATATAAGAACACCTACCATTGAATGACATTTGTTTCCCCTGAGATTTTTGTCTTCCATTTTGTTTCTGAATTTGTTTAGGAATAACAGCATTTCGATTTCTCAGTAAGGCTTTCAGCCTATCGATTTCTTGTTGATATTCTCTCAACAGAGCATCTTTTGGGTCCTCATTTATTTTTGGTCTATTTTTGATATTTTTAGCACGATTCGCGTATCTCAGCGTATTGATAGTTTCTTCATAGTTATAAGTGGCTGGTCCAATATTTGCTACCATAATAGTTTTTGAGTTTCCTCCAAAAGAATCTGAAGTGAAATAACAGAGAGTGATTGAACGTTGTTATTTAAGTTGCGTTTATAATTTGTATTATCGTAAGCTTCACTAGACTTTGAAAAGCTTATGAGCTACATCTGTTTAACCCACAATATTATGATGTTTAGCATGGGACACACAGAAAATTAAAATTTCTGTTTGACTTACGATGCGAAAACGAGTGCACTGTTTATAATGGCATATAAGGATTAATTAAGCAACCCTTCTTAGCATAAACTTTGTATTCTGTATATAACTGAAACGGACTTCCTCTTATTTCCTAATACTACGCATAATCTTAGTGTTGCTGGCTATATTGTTCCACCTAATACGTAGACAACTAAAGTCAAAAATATCCAGTCGTTCTATGTCTTTGCTTTAGACTGTAAATTTGGATATGGTGAAATGTTGTGCTAAACATATGCGCTTCAACAAGCAGTTGGATATGGTACATGTGCCTAAGATGACGCTTCTTGAAAGGTCTCAAATGATCTTTCTGTATCAATGATGAGATTTCGTCAGCAGCTGATACAACTTAAATCTTAGCATTCATTGATGTAATCCAAACACAAAATAAATTTTTTGTTAAGTGAAAACAAAAGATGATAACAAAGGCTTAAATATTTAAACATTTAGCACTCGGGAATAGTCCCAGCATATTTTTAAAACATTCTCTTTTTGACTTTTAAAACCCTCTTGGACTATAATAAACAAATAACTTGTTTGATAAGATCCAATTATTATTAGTCAGTGAAAACCATGATACTTATTGCTACTCACTAGTCAGTCAAAGTATGTGTTATCAGTATTTACTAAAATATGAAGGCAATTAAAATCATAACTATTTAAAAGCTATAACAAACGCACCTTGAAGTAGACGAGTAAGTTTTGAGTCACGATAAGGAATATGCGTGCTTTTACCATCCACCAAAGCAGATATAACGTTTCCAAGAGTTGAAAGACTTAAATTGATTTTCGTGGCTTCTTTCAAACGTTCTCCCTTGAAACAAAGCAGTTAAATTATATACAAACTTAGAATCAAAATATTATACGGTTCGATAAAATTTAATAAGAGTAAGATTTTGATCTTACGAAAGTTTGCTCAGTCATACATTCTTACAACATAGATATTAGTCCAAATAAAGTTGACAATACTTGTATGAGATATGAGTCTTCATAAAATGCATGTGGACATTGGTCACAATTTTATCATTTTCACCCTCAAGCTCTGGAATGTAAATTTTGTGACTTAACAAATTGCAACGTCAGCATTTGGAAAAAGGGATGAGACTAGAACAATGTTTTCTTGCTTATTCCACACAACTAAAAATTTATGCCTCACCTATGAGTAATAAATATCTGGTACGACCTGCAAAACATTCCTACTCAATACACTCTACAGCCTATAGTCTTACTGTCATTCACATTAAGCTCTAAAGGCCAATTCAATGTGATTAAACTTTCATAGAGTAAAGCGTATACAATTCACTGAAAACTTAAGCCTAATGAGATAAAATTATGTTAATTATCAGAAAAGTTGCATATGTGAAGAAGTAATTGTCTTGGAATGAGTTATAAGTGTGATAAGATTCAGTAAAAAATCAAATGAATTACTGCTATTCACAGAAGCTCAAACGCTACACCTACTGACATGCAAACTAAAGCAGGATTATTATCCTTTCCAATAATTGCAAACGGGAAGTCTTATTTTGTGGGAAATTCCACTGCAAAATCAATATTAACCGTGGATTTCAGTGGTTATAAAACTGAAACGAGTTACCTAGCTGCACTAGTTCGAACACATTTGCCCGCTACTGAGGAATTTCACTGCATCGATAAGTGTATGTAGTCAAGAAGGTTTGGGGAAATATGTGAATGACTTTCTACTCTAGTAATGAATGGCGTAATTTGAAACCAATCAAGAAATTGAATTGAATTTTTGATTTTCCCGTCGATTTATTGGACCGAAGTGCTCGGTCTCTAGTGGATAACGCTTTGGCGTTTGAAACTATGGGCACTGGGTTCGAGGGTCAGTGGGAACATCATCACTCACTGAGAAATGCAGGTACATCCAGATGACGAGTCCTAAATAGGACGAAACGCGCATCCTGGATTCCACTGCTAGCCACCATCCACCAATCGTATACCAATCAAGAAATCTTCAAATCTGGAGCTCTTAAAATATAATCGATGATTAAAGCTTCGACAGACATACAGTGCCATAGTAGGAATAATTATAAACTATAATTTGGCATCGTAGTATAGAAGCTTGAGAGTCGATCAGGTGTAGAAAGTCACCTTACTCACAATAGTCTGATCAAAAATACTCATTTAATGACATTTTTAATTATTTACTCACTGACCTTAATATCGTAGGCATCTGTGAGATACAAGCAGTTTCGGGGAAATTAACAAAAAATATTGGTTAACTGCGACCCATTAAAATCTAGTGATTGTAAATGGACCCGGGTTTTACTATAAATTTTCAGAAAAAAATTGATATATGATGCAAATGATCAATAACTATCCCGAGTATTGTATTATTCAAATATCGGTCACTATTTACTTCCATCCATTACAACTGTACCTTAAAAATAACTCCACAAGTCACAAATTCCTAATGCGATTCTGTTGGTGGACGTTGTGTGGTTGATAACTGTTATAAGATATAGTGTTGTAGCCTCATAACTGTGTGCTAGTAATCAAAATTTTAAAGAGTGAATGAGCACACTTATAGGGGTTCATAATTCATTAAATAAAATAGTTTCAGCTTTACCTCAGATAATGTTTTAGATTGGCGTTCACTTCCGGCCAAATCAACAAGATTTAATTTACCAACACGTATATGGTTTTTTCCATCTGCTCCAGTCTACTGTGGTAAGAAATAATAAGTGGAGGTTGTCATACCTTACAACATTCAACAGTAACGATAAAAATGGCATGTGACCGTGAGCTGTGTTCATTCATGTTTGTAGCCCTAGAACAAAATTAAATATTATCTAGTTTACAATGCAAAATAAGTACTCACCCAACTGCCCGATTCTGATAGCCGATATTCATAACTTTCTGAATTTCAGTAATGCTCCTAGTAAGAACTGAAGAAAGATCCTGTATATTGAAAAAGTGAAGAGTTTTAAAATGCACCACTGTTGCACAACTATTATTTTATTCGACACTTATATATACTACCCTTAGTGTAGGATGTACTTTGAGACAATACAATAGTTTGCTTCTGTTTTCAGGTTCGTTACGTTGTGGTTCATGAGGTACCCAAATTTAAGCCAATAAACCAGTCTGTAAAATGCCTTCCTCCTTCCCAAGTTTGTGAAACCGGGCGATTTTCCTTGTGTTTGTATAATACTTATGAATACATTCTAAATGCGTTAAAATGCGTGTCACTGTTGATATATCTTACATCCTGTCTTAAACGCTTTAGTTATACTGATAACAAAACATCCATGTTAGTCTTTCGATTCTTGATAAAGATTCTCTTATGTCTGCTAGAGATATTAAATCAACAGTAACAATTAGGTCGGTCAGTGTTTTAAATAAAACTTTATGATAGATAGGGTAAAACAGCCGCCAGATAAAAATAAATAGGTAACATTCTACATAGTCAGTCGTAAGTACGGTGGATTTCAAGGCCGACCATGCACATGGTCCGGGGTTCGATCCCCCGCCGACGCACACCCGATATCTATGGTCGGCCTGCTAAATTTGGGCTACCGATATCACATGCTGAAAATTCCATACTAGTACCAAAAATACAATGTGGAATCAAGCTGTAATCAAAATAAAAAAATAAAAAAATCTAATAGTCGGATTTCAGTTCGTAAAAGTAATTCTTAGTTCCTAAAACCAATTTCCTAAGGGCTGATGATACTAGAGCCTTAGGAACTTTAGTCAAATTCATGGAATACGTTTCATACAGGCTTTTAATAGACAGAGGGAGATTTATGTTCCAATTAGACTTTAAAATTATATCAGTGCCATCATCATATAAAAACTGCTTCTTGGTTACAGCATGCTTACTTTCACATATATTCCGCTATCAGGTTTCTCCTTGATTTCTAAATGTTTTGACTGGTCTCTACGGAGTAAGTCACGTATTTCTTCTTTGTAAATTTCCAAATAGCTGGCACGCACAAGATACTGAGCATCTTTAGACCTAGATATATGATCAAATATTAGGTCAAATGAATTAGGCATAACACCACGAAGCTCTGGATTGTCTTCAACTCCTGGAAAAAAAATTTCATCAAATGAAATTAACTCGAACCCTGAATGGTGAAAGTTTTGCCTGTCCCAGTCTGTCCATATGCAAAAATGGTGCCATTAAAGCCTTCTAAGACACTGGTAATCAGATCACGGAAGCTTTCATCAAATAAATCCCTTTGGGTTGAACTTTAAGAGGTGTGAATTAACTAAATATATTACTTTTCATCATAAACTGAATCAAATGTGAATCGTCGAGGAGCTTCGTCAGGCTTTGCCTTGGGATTGCGTACTTCAATAGTTGCATTTGGAACGTCGACGAAAACACATCTAAATTCATCTGTTAATTACCAACCGTTTTACTTCTCATGACCAGCCAAAGTTTCTCTCTCATCCAGTGGCCTACATCTAACCACTACTTTCACTGTTTCGGATGTGTCTGGCTTGCTCTTGAAAAAAGTAAGAGGAATATGTAAATTCGAATTACCTGAGACATTGTATTGAGCGGCAAAACGGAACTATGGTAACAACAACATTAAATTCCACTACAGCTAATTTCTTAGGCGAGCAAGTTAGTCATTTCTTATATCAAATCTAGTTTTCACGAGCTGGCATGAACTAATAAGATTTGCTTTGCACGCTTCTTGACTGTGAGGTGAAGGTTCCTGGTCTGCGGTAAACTATTATTGTTTACTTCTTGTTCTCTTCTTGGTAATGAAAAGCAGGTCATGTTTTATAATGCAGTCAGTGCTATCGCAGCAGCCCTAGTAGACCTTAAGGAAAGTGGAAGACTGTTTAAGGTGTATGATGCAATTAAGTAATGCGGTACCTTTTTTTATCAGCATCGGTCTTTTCATTAGATGTTTCTTACTACTGGTGAAAATACTGTTGTGGTAGAGTTAAAGTGACACTAGCGATGAATACCAAAGATTCAACAAACAAATGGTGGCTCAAAAAGATGGTGGAATGATACGGGGACGTAACTGACAGAAGATGACTCGAGAAAAGTGATTGATCTCCTCTTTAACTCCAGCTTCTCTCCCAATTTGCTTATTGTCTACTCAGGCAACAATGAAGGAATCAATTGAACATCGTTATTGTTTAACGCAGCACTAGGAAACAGATAAGAGGAAGGGAATACGGGAAGATTTTATATATTGGATACGAAATGTCAATAAGTGCAAAACAGTTGAAGTTTAGCCGTACTAACGGTGAAACAAAACAATCCCAACTATGATGCCCTAGTCACTGGAGGTTTAACAAACCATATATTTCTATATTGTCTACCCAAGCGGCGGGAATTCCACCTCTCTACTCATATTTGCTACCACTTTCTAGCAATGATATGTGATTTATGCTTACTTCGATATCGGTTGCAGTTAAGAATAGCGATGCTTCCTTAAGAATGACTACCTCAATGTAAAGACAATGTTTCAGCATCCGGAGAGCGGCAAGTGTTGTTATCACCATCCACACACCACTGTAAGGTTCCTAAGACTTCTATTAATGACTTAGCTATTCCAAGTCTGTTGAGTGTGATATTATTGTTACTAACCCTCACCTAGTAATTATCAGCACCACTAACTCAACGTGGCCGCTTAACCTTTTTCCTCTGCACTTGTGTATAGGAGTCGAGGCTTGATATCACATACAGATCCCACTTGTCTTGGGTCTCAATGTCAACCCCAATCGACATACTCCTTCTTGACTTCATACGGTCAGTGGAACTATTTTTGTCAATGGCTTGTGAGAGGAAAACTTTCAGGAAGGATTACAGGATGAGATGTGATTTCCTCTGAGTTTCCAGGCGGCCCCTGAATGAAATCTTTTAAATGGCCATCTCGGATTGTCTCCTTTCTGCAAGTACTGATTTCTTGTCATGAGATTTCATAGTGACGTATTTTTCGAGTGCGTTTCAATTCACACAAATACTTGCTAAACGAAAACAGACAACCAACAATAAATGTAGGTATATATCTCAGTTCACTTATAAGGGATTTTGAATGACTGCACATTAGTATGCAAAACATAATGATAAAATTTAGCAATTTTCCTGCAGTCTTGTTTTAAAAAAGGCGGAATACTTAATCTGTGGTTGATTTGAAACTGCTTGAGCCTTCCTCACATTCAATGTAGCATACTGATTGGTTGTAAATGCAACTTGGTATTATTTATTGACTTCCAGGACAGATAGGGCCATTGAAATGAAGAAGTGTTAGTGTAAAAATGTCAAATTCCAGAGCGATTTAGTCATGTAGGAAATCTACAAAATATCTATTTAATGTGAATATACCACTTCTCTGCATTCCAATAGCCTCTCATAATTTCTTCGGCGCACATCTATCAAACATCCGACTTATAGGCCTCTACTAAAATAAAAATGTTTTCAGGCATTTCTTTATAACTACTTTGTGCTTCACTTATATTAAGATTCAGATGGTATTCCAGAACTAATCTGTTATGAGTTATATTGAACCCCGGTTGATATGTTTCGCAAATAAGTGCACTAATTTTGTGGAATTGACCTATCGTGCACAACTGAGAATGGAAATCCCTTAGAAGTCACCTGCTGATCATTCTACAGATCAAACAGAAGGTATATTTTGTTACACGGATGCAAAAATATGTTGACAACACACCTGAAAAAATGGTCTAAGTTTAGGAATTTAAGGCCGACATTGAGCACAGAGTATTACTGCTGCAATATTAATATATGAAGACTCTGGATATAGACTGTAGGAAGTAAGATTTTATGCATCGAGTTCTTCTATTGTGAACGTGGGCAGAGCTATTTTCTCAGTGCAGTCATACTTTGTGCAATTGTGTTTCTGGGAGCTTGTCAGAAATAACGAATTGATACAACTTGTTTGCACAAAAGAAGTTTTTTTATAAATGAAAGACCCGTAGAATTCTTTTAATTAAAACCTTGGGTACTAAATGTTTTCAGGAGCCACAGCAGTCATGCACTGCTGTCCCGGGGACAAAGCCTAACTTCACAACTTTCCATACCCTGATCTACCTGGTGAAAGGGTCTACTTCCTCTCCCATTGATTTGCTATATCCTTACACAATGCTCTACCAGTCTGTGTCTTACAATCCTCTGCGCCAGCGAATCACATCATTTTATTTTTATTGCCAAGCCTATAACTTTAGTTCAGATTGTGATGTTACCAACAGTCACTTTTGATCTATATTTGTAACGGTCCGAAGGTACACATCACAGCGTATTCTAGTAGTCGGAAACTGTGAGGAATATTAGTCCATTGAAAAATTGAATTTAAAAAGCTAAATATGGGGTATGTGTCATTTTTGAATAGAAATCCTTGTATTTTAATGCAAAGTGACTGAATGGATAACCCTAAAACCCAGTGGTAGTTAAACTGGTTCAGCTGTGTAGCTTTCAGGGGAATTTTTAATAAGAAAAGAGTAACAGACCTATTTTGCACAAAGAACTACAAGTCATCTGAAATGTTACAACTGACCCACATTATAATGATACTCTTTTTATTGTAAGCAACATTTTGCACGCACGATAGAATTTTTCACTGTGTGCGTGATACAAAGAAAATCATATCAGATGGCCGAGAAAACTGGAGCTAACCGGAGAAGATTGCGTCATAAGAATACTTCAAACAATAATATGCAATTTATTCCCAAGAACTCTGGTTTAAAATATCGTCTATCTCATTGAAAGCCTAAGTAAATTCGCAGTGAATAGCAATTGACATTTTCTCATCATAATCGGCTTTCGCGATAGTCTCAGCGGATAAGTAGTGGAAAACTTTTGCGAGAAACCAATGCGATGGCCTATTCAGTGAAAGTAGCTAAAATTTTTTCACGACTTTGGAGGAAACAGAAGTCCAACACAATCTAGGCTTGTGTTCAGAGTACAGATTAACGTGACTAGTTAGAAAGTTGGTATAGTTCACCTGCTATGATCGCTTTTACAATAATCAAATAATCTTAACTTTTGAAAAAGTATTAATAAATGATACTTCACCATTGTAATTTATAACATAACTGACGGTACCTGTAAAAATGACATGCATATCCTGTAAACTCTCGTCTATGTGAAATATAAATTATTATTAAAGGGGCAAAACCGCTTCAAAAAGCAGTAGAAAATCTCTCCACTGCCAATGATAACTGAAATGCTCAGTAACGTGTCAGAAACACGCCATCCTCCTGCATCACAGGCAGTATTGTTAGTAGAAGTAATTTTATGATCTCGTGTATACTAGTGTAAATCACGTATCATAAACCGTTAATGCCCAGCTCTCGCTACGCTCGGGCCCACGCTGTTCTTTGAAGATTTCAGAAACGCTTAGTTATAACGGACGAAAAAACCAAAACACCGATCTGCCGCTTGATATTTCTGTATTGTTACACCAACATATAAAAAGAATAAGTGAACTAAGGTCTGAAAACAAATATTACAATAATAAATCATTGTATTACTTCTGACGATGTTTCACTCTTCTTTCTGAACAGCGACCGATGAGACGATGACTGTCGTATTGATGCCTCCGCGAAAATTGTGGAAGTTGATTTTGAGCAAACAACCATGAATTGATCGTTCAATCTTCAACTCCATTGACACTCCCCGGCAAAAAAGGGATCCAACCCTTTTTTCCTTCACGACCAATACACGTTGACTTGGATGCCATTGCGAGAACCTGGGTCACACGGACAGAGCTGAAATGGAAAACAAACAGAAAAGCCAACACACCACAAGCATACCCACAGCACAATCTCACACATCAATGACGACCTGCGCCTCCAGACAGAGATCTCCTCTTGACATCTTGCAACACAATCGCCATTTGCTAGAATGACTCTTGCAGAATGCAAAGTGACCATGGCAGCACCTCACGATACTCTACGCACATCCTCTTATCTACTCACTACCAATTACCACTGAAATCGCTTGTCACTCATTCTGCCACAGTTCTAGTAACGGTGACGCATGCGAGCCTCAGTCGTTTACACTCTTTCTCCCCGGCGTGTCGGACCGCAGCTAACAATTATCTCCGTATGCATTTCATTCTCAGCAATAGCCTAGCCTCCCCGGCGTATACGACCCATCTGCTGTCCTTAACATCAATCAATTCATTCACGGATGTAGAAGACTCGAAACAAATTCAGAAGTAAGCACGACGAAAATTTTAACAAAATTAAGTAATAACAACAAGGTACGAAAACAACGAGTAAACACAATTAATCAAAAATCACAAATTGAGAAGACACACCACACGTATATACAAATAGTACAAACAAACTCGCCGATCATGTCTTGGTGGAATTCCTTTGAAGAATTGCAGGACTTACACCAGTACGCCTACAACCCTTCTCACGTTGACGATTGTAAGTTGTGGAATGTCCGGACACAAACAAGATTAACCAACAATTACGATAATTGGAACTCACACAACTATTTAACACAAACATATGTACAATCAACACATCAAATGTTGTGGATTCCGGCATGACAAACTA